TAGCACAGTTGCTGTAAAACACATCCAAAAGCTAATCATCTTGGTCCCCTATTTTGGAAATACTTTTGCAGAACTGCAGTCAAGGTCAGAAATTATTTTCTAAGTTCTGCAGAATTTATATATATATAAATGTGGTCTGTAGCACCAAGTATGTGTTCAGAATTCAAACCTTTTCTCCTCATCGGAAGTAAATATCATATCACTAGAGTTACAGACCAGCTTTACAGGGCTCATACTCCCCTTTTTTTACAACAATTCTCATATTTGTACTGAAAAAATAAGAAGACTGAAAAGTCAGAAGACTGAGGCAGATGGTCAGAACTAGATAACTTTAGAGAAAAAAAAAGCAAAAAGCAAAACTAATAATTTTACACTGCTGCTCCAGGTAGATCTCTACACAAGTTGAGGAAAGATGGAGACTACAGCTGTAGAGGCTCCTGCATTACTTACTTACTTGTATAGCATAAGCTAAATTCTAATCTGTTCTTATTTTCTGTTAGCTTCACAGTGCAACTAAATGTATGAAGAGAGCATTCTGCACTGACATGAAAGGAATAAAGCCAACATGGCAGCATGCCCTTCTCAGCTGAATTTGCTATTCTTGCTATTTTTACTGTGTTTTAAACATAACGTACACTGACATCATCTCTCCTTTTTCACAGGCTACAGTTGTTAGGAACACCACATACTTCCATGACAGACATTAACACAGAGACAAGTGAAACTGGGAAAAGAAAATATAAAAGCACACAAGAGAAAACTCTTAAATTTCATAGGTTTTAAATCCTATTTTTTGACATTCCTTGCATTTTCAACAGCAGGCCTCTTTTGCGTGCAGGCATCCAAGCCCCACATGACAACTTGTGCCCAGGTACAGCTGTCCAACTCTGGTCACTGCTGCGCAGACACACAAAGCTCTGCCTGCACATCTCTCCCCACCGACACGGACATGCCTTGTTCTCAGCCCCTGTCCCTCATCTCCTCTCTTCCTCTACCTGCCCCACTGAATCAAGCACTAAAGCAGGAAATAATTGTCACATGAAGCTGCTGACACATTTCCTGCTCCCCTGCAGCCAGGAGGGGAGAAAGAGGGTCTGTGGGGTCACATAACTCATCCTGGCATGCCCAGTGGGGCACACTGTTTCCAAGAAGATAAAATTCTGTAATGCATCCTGGCATAAGCTCTGCAATACTGAATTTCCTAGGCAGACCTTGACATCCCATTTTAACTGCATGCCTCAGAACATAGAGGACTGCTAATCCTTTTATACTCCACCCAAACCACTCGTGTCATGAACTGTGTCACAGGCAATGCTCACAACAGAAATTTCACATGATGAAAAATTGCTAGGTTTAGCTGATAGAAGCATCGAACAGCAGACCACATCCCAAATAAAAGCCTCACAACAGCAAGCCCCACCACTCCCTAACGCCATATGTGTAACACCTCTCTCTCTTCTACAGTAAAGCTGTAGCTTTTCAGTTTTTGGAAGTGGCCAATGAGGAACCCCCTCATCATGTCCTCATCCCTGTTAAACACAAGTTCTTTGCCCTGTCCTTCTGCATTTGACATTCAAGTAGCAAACAGTGGCAGATTTGCTGTGCAAGTAATTGTGCCAGTTCCATAACTATCATGACAACTTTATGCAGACAAAGTTCTTTAAAGCTGTGAAGATGTTCCTTTCTTTCCCCTCTGCTCCCCCTTCCCAGTTGCATAAGCCTATTTTTCAACACTTGACAAGAGAACGAATGCATTAGATCACAAAGGACCAAATCTGTTGCTGTTGTTTTCCTTTTAAGCTTCCTTAATTAGCCCTCCAGTTTTTGGAAAGTAAAAGGAAAGAAATGCACTGTGGTACAGAACTATCAATATTAACGAACAAGACAGATCTCCAGCTTTTAAAAATATTCTGTTTGAGGCTAAATCAGAGTATCTAAAAGTGGCCTATTTGGAATAAGTATGTCACCAAGTTCGATATTTAGGTCAGTTTTTGTGCAATAATTCTAGTCTGTCCTGAAAACAGAAGTTCTGTTCACCTCAGGACACATACATATAGGAAAACCAATCCCAATACCTATTCACCTTCCAAAACTTCAGAGGCAGAGCACGAGAGTGGTCTTGGCTGTGATAGATTCCACTGTTAGAATGAATCTGATTATACAGGAGCAATGCTTATTCTTAATTCAATTAAACTCCAGTCTCCACAAACACAAATTCAAATCTTTTCTAGCATACACCTATTTATTGCAGGAGTGATGCATTAGGATTTGTCTCCTTCTGAACCACCACTAAAAAGTCAACATTGCCAATATTCTGTGGGGAGAAAGACTGCAGAGCAAGCATTCTTTGCAAGCTTCCTTTCAAGACTGAGCTTGTTATTTAAAAGTTAAAACAACATCATCTTCTACCTCTTCTGAAGTATACAGAATATAGATATGAATTGCTTTTTCATAGTTAAAAACTGAATTGAGCCATTTTAATGAAGTATTTTACCAGGGGTTTCCTTCTGCAATAAAATTTATAATTAAAGCTTTCATTACACTAAGTAAGAATCAGAAGCCTCAGTTTTCAGCAGCATGTATCAGGAGCACAAAGGAGAGGAACTACTCTGAAGAACTACTGCTCAATGTAAGTCAACACAAATGTCACTTTCAGAACAAATGTCATTAAACAACATCTATATTTAAAATACAGTCTTAAATATTATTCATAACAACTCACAAAAGTGCAAGTACTATATACAACACCAGTATTAGGGAAGAATCTGTAAACACCATATGACCTAGCCCATAGCAAGCAACTAGAAACTAAGTTTCAGAGCCATAACAGCACCCTTGCTAAATATGCTTGCTTTTAGAAACACAGTGCTTTACACAGTATTTTCTTAGTTAGCATGATTGTTTCAGCAGCTTTGAACTTGATTAGTTCCCAAACACCTGAGGGAGAATACCTCATATAAATGTTGGGGTTTTTCCCCAGCAATAGGAAATGAATGTTAGTTTGCCTGAACTACAGAGCTGAAGATTCAACTTTTGTAATTTCTTTATACATGTAAATCAAGTGTGGTACACCTTACAATTAAGCTCTTTGACACAAACAGCATCAGCTGGAGGAAATCTGAGCTACTTTTGAAGCACTACTAGTTTCCCTGTTTCTGTTCTTCAGAAACAATGTTACTGTGCAGCACTTCCCACTCGACTGCCTTGCATACAATCATGCTTGTCTCTGTTTTTCTGTCTCAGGACAGGAACCCCAAACATCAAAAAAAACAACTTGAAGTGGCAAAATACTGTTTGAAAATCCATGAATGCAGAATGCTAATTTTCAGGTTTGGGGGCTGGGGAGTTGGGGTTTAAAATGCCTTTATTTTTCCTCAAAGCATGTTTTACCAACTAAAAGAATAGCATAGTTTCTTCACCTCTGACAGTCTGAAAAGACACTTGAAACTATGTATTTTCTTTCTACACTTACATAAGAATGGGAGGTTATCATGAGTGCATGGGGATATGTTCTCATGCTGGCTATCATCCCGATGCTGTTAGTCATTTGGGTGAACCAAAGAGAAAGAGAGAAGCACAGCATGGCACAGAACAAGCTTATGCTGCCAGTAATTCAGAGGGGCTTTCTGGCCATTTATCTCTAGCTCTGAAGTTCATTGTTTTCCACTGTTTTCCTCACTCATTAGATTTGCCTTTCATTTATCTGATGTCAAACCCTCTGGAGATGAAAGGACACCACTGTCCTAGAGACAGCCCCAAAGCAGCAAGGACTCAAAAACCTGACAGACCGTGCCTCACCATCTCATAAAACACGCCTTGGGGATTTTTACCTTGAGGCTTAACAGACCTAAGCAGATATGCCAGAACAGCTTCTTTTAAAAGAATTTTAAAACTTACTAGGAGAAAAAGACCCTAAAAGACATTTTAAATGATGCATGTGCTAGAAGGTGCATTAGTTACTGTTTGAAGAAAGTTTGACATCCAATCAAACCTTTTAAAAAGCTCACAACCTAGGCTGTATCATTGGCCATCAGCTGGATAATACATTATTGCAATCTAAAGATAAAACAGATCTAGTGCTACATAAGTGTCTCCAAGTACTGCTACATAAAACTAAGTTGCTTTTACATAGTAAAGAGCATGGAGAGTCCTATCAAGTACGGAACTAATGAGCAGTTTAGGGCTGACTACAAAACCAAATAGAGCACGCTGAGAACACAGTAAAAAAACTTCAGTTGCAGTAAGTATGAAAAATAGAATTGTTCAAGATATATAAAGCTTTAGCAAAAAAGTGGCAGGGATTAAGAGATAAAACAGACAACTGCAAAAATACCTTTCAACAACAGAAGGTGAAACTGAAGAGTAAACAAAAAAATGCAAGCCCTAAATTCCTATCATTAATTGTGTTCTTAGCCCAGTATAAAATTTACTTTACAAAGGTTTTAGTTAGCAACCTTTTTTCACTGACAGAAAATTATTTGCTTATTACAAATAACCCAAAAATCAGTTATTAAACTAGAGAGAGGTTCAGCAACACTTCAAAGCAGGAAAAAATTCCTTTATTCTAGCAATTTAATATTTAGGTTCTATGTAAGGAATGAATTTTTAAAACCCTGAAATTACTTTAGGTTTTAATAACACTGAAAAAATGCTTTTTAACTGAAATGTTGACAGTTATATTTGTCATCCTTGCTGTTATAATGATCTCAGTAGATCCATCCAGCTGATAAGAAAATGGATGAAGTTCAGTACAGCACTTTGCTTACACAGCCTCAGTAGAAAGAAATGTTGGTGTAAATGCGGAAAAACTCACCTCCCTATTGCCTGTGCTCGTGCCTATTACCACGAGCTCTCAATCTGGATTTTTCCAAAAAAAGCAAGAACAGCAGCAATAGCAGTTCTTGACCATCAAAAAGGAACAGTATTGCTGCATGGAGAAGACTGAACTGGGGGAAACTCTCCAGACATCCCATTCCCAGCAGAGTCAGCAGCATTCTCACCTTTGATGCTTGTCGCAGCCACCGCAGATATTCAGTGAAGTTATCGAAACAAATGTAGTAGGTCTGGCTTTGAGGTCCAGAGGAGCTAAATGCTAAACAGTGCTGGTGCTTTTTCACTTCTTCCACCTACGGCAGAGACACAAAACTGAGTCAACAAGAATCAAAAATCTCTTTGCAGAACTCCCGAAAGGCAAAGTTAAAGTGTGCCCAAGAGCAGATCATCAAGGAGAGCCAGACTAACCATCTCAAACAACCAAGCTGGACCTTGGTTGTCAAATAAATATGAAATCTACACACACAAGCAGGAATAAGAAAAGAAGAAGGAAAGAGCTAACAGAGAAAACCATCAAGAACATAAACATTTTAATAGAAACTGAACACCATAAAAGGTTTGCCAGTGAAACGCATTTAAGGCTGTTTTTATGCAACCTAAAAAAATACAATTTTTACTCCCCGGTTATTAAAAACAGGCTTAACAAAATGCTGCTCTTACAGCCCAATTAAATTCTTTGGCATTTCTCAACTTGTTAAAAAACACCCAGAGTACATCATTCTGCTACCATACACGAGAAGTCCCACACAACTTATGGTGTCAATGTCTCAGTACAGCATTTTTGAAAGCCTTTGCAAACCAGGAAGTGCAGAGTATTTATGGGGATGAGGAAGAATATTTTTTGAGCAATAATTTAAAAAACACTTAGTTCTGTGCCAAGCACCCTCCTCCCAAGCTTTGTCAGCAGAAGCCCTCAGTACATTTTTCTGAGCTTAGTTATCCTTTTCTTTTAAAATTTGTTGTCAACTTTCTGCTTAACACAGTCTGCATGTTTTATATCACATAAGGCATTTCTGTGCAAAAGCTGCTTAGAAATTCCACATTAAGCAATTAAAATGGTACATAATCTTTTCCCTTTTAAAATTAAAAGAAATATATTGAGATGAAAAGAATATTTATCTCAAAGAGAAGGCTGATGGGAACCTTAATCCTGTCCTTTCCAGCAATCCACAGCCAAGAACACAATTCACTCTCCAGAGTTCACACACTGTTGCCAAAAGAAGACAATGTTTCTACTTCAGTATCTCCCAGGAAGAGTTGAAGAATCATGTGCAGAATCATAAAAGAGGCAGGAAAAACAGCTGGTAGAAGGCAGCTCTGCTTTTCACACTGCTAGTATAGAATATTAATGAATCAACTCTAGTCTGCATATATAATACTGTGAAACTTGTTTCTCTCCAAATAACTCTTCAGAATTCAACTTACCAGAATGTAAGGTAAAGGAGGATTACTTAAGCTGTAAATTCATCCTCAAGATTATGATTCTCTTCCCATTACCTCAGTTAAACAAGCCAACAATAGTTTTCTGAAACACTGCTTAGGTTAAAAGAATGATGTTGTAATCTTACTGTCTTCACTACGTTTCACAGAAGAGTTAAGGTTGGAACAGACCTCCAGAGGTCATCTGGCTCAACCCCCTGCTCAAGCAGGTCCACTTAAAGCCAGTTGCCCAGGACCACGTCCAGATGCTTTTAAGTATCTCCAGGGGTGAGGGATATGCCATCACTCATCTGGGTAACCCATGGCAGTGCTCAGTCACCATCCCAGTGGGAAAAATATATTTGCTTGTGTTCAGTCTGGAACTCCTGGGCTTTAGATGTAATCTATCAGAAAAAAGTCCGGTTTTTGCTTTTCACAAGGAAAAATGTTTGTTGCTGTTAGCTTACAACAGACCACTACTCATACAATGCTGAATACTCAGAAACTCACACTATGTTCAGAATAAGCCCATGCCCTTATTTGTTAATTTTCAGAACTAAAGAATAATCCAGCATGGATAAAACCTCAATGAGGAGGAACGGCAGAGAGCATACACAACAGACCTGCATGTATCCTTTGGCTGTATGCTACTGCATACATAAACCACTTAACACTGCACACAAGAAAAAGACACTGATTGTGCATCCATTGCTTTTCTTTGTAGTTTTAAGTCAAACATTCTAAATCATTAAATATGACCGACCATAATCAAAAGGCATTTATATACTTTGAAAATCCCATTTATAGAAACAAGCTTTTGGAGGGTCAGAATGATCCTAATTGAATGCAATCTTCTCTTCATAAAGAGACAGGGGTTAATCAAGCAAATAAATGAAATAAAATATCTTACTTTTCCACCAATTAAAGGGAGGACATGCATCTTTCCAGTCTGGCTTTCTTTTACTGATGAGACAATTAGGCATGTTCCACAAAGGATAGCTTGGCGTCTTGTCCATCTGTTGACTGGCAAATGTATTTTCCCTTTTCGAACGTTGTACATTCCTGAGAGCTGAATCCGTTCGGAGCTGCCAGTGCTGTGGGGCTTTCCTGAAATAGAAACAAAAGCATCCACTTAATCACAGAAAATCTTTGCCTCTTTCACTCAAGTCATCTTGAGACTTGATCAGGAAATTTTCAAGCTACAAACTGCAGCATGGCAAATGATGTACAGCTTCAAAACCATGCAAGCAGGTAATTTAATATTAGCTTCAGTACAGTCTTTTTCCATACAGGTTGGTATGATGAGGAGCAGGTCACATTAAATAATCTGCAATAACCATAGAAGCACCAATTAATGGTATCAACCTTCTCTCTAGAACCTGGAAATCAAATGTTCATCCACAACAATAAGGAATTGGCTCCTGTTGAGTTCAGGAGGCGTGTGGTAACTGCAGAAGGGGGAGATGTAGTGCATGCTGACCCATATCTTTGCATTTCCACGTCTCTCCTGGCTATCCTTCAGGTCATGGATCAAACAGCTTCAAAAGCTTCCCAAAGAACACAGGCCCTACCTCCCCCAGCCCACACTGCTCAGTCCAACCCCCACAGCAGAGGCAGCACACTCAGCCATTACGTTAGCAGGGGCAATGCAGATGAAATCCCTCAAAGACCCTGCTTTAGTCTGAGTAAAGATTTGGAAAGAGTGAGGTTATTTTGTGTATATTCCAACGAATTCATTATTTTTAGTAATTCAGATTATTAGCATAGCTATCAATTAGACCAAATCTGTTAAATGACTTTAAATGCCTCAGATACTACTAATCTAATCTATTAATAGGATTCTACTCTACAGAAAACATCATGAGCGATGGCAACACAAAGACAACCATCTCTCAACTCTGTTCTTTCAGGATGTAAAAGGGAGGCACAATTTACTCATTCTAATCTGATTTATCTACACCAAGTTACCCTATCAAACCTTAAACAGTCCAGCCCAAATTTGAGTAATCCAAATACATGTAAGTATTTTGCAAACAGAGACAAGAGCTAATCATGTTCAGGTTAAACCAGTTCAAATTTATGTAAGAACACCAGTGTCAATGAACTTTGGGAGGGAGCTCCCCTGGATAAACAAACCAAAGGGTATGTTAATTTCAAGTAGCTTCCCTATCACAATAAAAGATAAATCACTAATTTCCCCACACTAATATTTACCACAATTCCTAAATACAAGGAAATAATAACTCATTAGGACTCCAGAAAAGCAGAGTTGATTCTAACACTAACATTTCAGAGCTGTGCCTACAATCTCCAGCAGTGACAAGTGCTGCACACTATTACTTCAACTTGCTATTATTCCTGCTTGCATGACAGCTCATTTGTCTCAATGAGTCTGCTCTTGCCTTCAAATTGTCTACAGAAAGATAGAAGACACCTACCACATGCCCTATCCACTGCCATTCTCTCAGCCCTGCCCAGCCCATGCCAATTCTTGTCCTTATCTTTAAAAGCAGCCTTTTTGAATCTTCCTGCCAATTTAATGAGCCAACACTTGGCACAGTTACCCTCAAGCCTTGCTCTGCTCTAATAAACACCAGCATTTAGGCTACCAGCATCTGCCAGTTTGGATCTGCAGGAACATCACTGTTGCTTGAAGCTGAAACATGGCAACTTTAATGCCCACAAGGTATCAGCATCAAATTCAAAAATAGGTGCTCCAAGAAAGCAGTAGTTACACTGCCAAGCAGTATAACTACAGCAGTATAATCCACAGAAGCTGTGGATTAACTCTTTGTCTAACACAGGGAAATGGGACACGTGTTCTGTGCAAAGCCACAAGACAACTGATAGAGAATACAAGTGAGTAAATTAGAGTAACTCAGCCTTAACAAACACAAAAGCTGAACCAAACACTACATTTGGAATATGAAATATTTAGTTCTTATAGTAACTGAGAATTAATCTAGCTTGTGCAAAATGTCGCAGAGCACTGATTAAAGAATTAACGCACATAAACAACCACATCTCTGTAATGGAGTAAAAAGTGCTTGATAAATACTAATAGCACAACTGTATAAGGAATAGCTGTCAGGGATGTGTGCAGCTGCACCTCTAAAATTTTGTTCTATGACCTGATTCTTAGGTCTGCTCTCTGACTATGTGCTCTCTAACTTCCCAGGAGAAGCAGAACATGCTGCTGATAGAAACCCCTTAAGACTGCAAGACATAAATTCAATCTCTTGGGAAGACAAGTTCATTTAGCATTTCAACAGAATCAAATGCAACTTTCACAAACATTCAGGAACAAAAGGCATAATTTGCACTTAATCTGGGCAGACCTGTGTCCTAGAAAACACCAAACCTCAGAAATGTTTTAGGAATATCTTGGATAGGAAAGAGCATGAGCTCTGGTTACAGTGCTGCAGCCAAGATGCTTGGTAGGAAACACAACAGCATTCTGGGGCAATCAAGCAGTAGCATGCATTATCCTGCCTAGTCCAGTGGTAAAACGACTACCACACTTGGTACTCACACTTCACAGGGAGTACTGGAAAGCTAGTCTTGGGAAATTTACAGGGGAAAATAAATTCAGATGCCTGAGAAATCTGCTTTCTAGGACCAGACCCTCTTGGGCTAAGTACATTATGTTAGGCAAAGGTGGAACCACAAAACTACTCAGAAGTCTCTGAAAAGTAGTTCCTAAAATTTCACGTAAATTCTCAGCATTTGTAAGTCGCAAGATTAGTACCATTAGTAAAGTTTACTAAAAAACCTGGAAAAGAGCTATCACTAGAAGTATTTCTGCTAGATATGAACTGTATTTTCTCTCAAACTTCATATTTGACTAGAAAATTACTGGAATATGAACTTTCAGTTACTCCTACAAATACAAGAGAAAAAAAAAGCAGCCCTTTAAACTTCAAGGAACCCTTCAAAGCATTTAAGGTGCTTTTTTCCCAGCAAGTACTGTCCTTTGCTAAGTGAAAACCAGAAGGTTTCTTGATGAGAACATACAGAAATAAACACTGGACCAATTTCATTAAAGCAAATGGTTTCTCTCTTCCATTTCTTGTCTACTTCACTACATAACCAACCATCTGGTTGCACCAGATGATCTTTCAAGGTTCCTTCCAACCTGGGCTCTTCCCTGATTCTGTAACTTGAAAAGCTCATGTTTAATATTGGATCACATGTTGTTGCCTGAGACGCAATCTGCTCACATATTCAGTTTTCTTCCTGCTTAAGGACTGTCATCATTGATATTTGATAAAACACTGTGATACTATTATCATGCAAGTGGGGAAAAAAAAGGAGTCAAAAGCTACTGGCTTATTTTGATTTTAAACAGAGGTTAATCAAGGACATACCAACTAGCTGTGGAACTAAATTCCTAGATTCATAAATCCGCCCAAGTATTTTTTGCAGGTAACAGTGAGCAAAAGCCGTTTGAAAAGCAGCAGCCTTGCCTACTAAAAAATAAGCTTGGACAGACTAAGCTTTAAAGAGCTCAGGTATTAGCTGCCAAGAGAACATAAAAGCAGGAAAAGTTTAAATGACAGTGTGCTCTGCCACAGCAGAAGTGGGATGGGGTTTGGAAAGAGTGTGAAGCAATCTAAGGCTGGCTTAGATTCCTCACTTCAGGGAGGAAAGCAGCAGGTGGCAGAGTCTCCTGCAAGAGGGCTCATGAGTGGAGGACGTGGGAAAGGCTCAGAACTGCACCTGCCTTTTCTATGACCTGGAAAACAACCAAATCAGAAGGAAGTGACATTTTTTCTTCCAAGAGTACAGAAAGATGGGGGGTAATTTGGACTACAGCTGAATGCCTTCAGGCCATGAATCAAGCACCACAAATTACGGCATAACTACAGCATCACCACCAAAAATCTGTTGGTTTTGAGGTACCCTGCCTCTAACAGTGCCAGTGGAAGCACTGTTTTCAGTAAAAGCATCAGCAGTCCCCCAATCTGCCTCACAGACCTCCAATTCAAGATTTAGAAGGCTGCATGAGATTCACATACTGAGATGATTCTTCAATTTTAACTAACCCTGAAGGAAGCAAATGAGTTTTCACAAGGGCTTGTGATAATATACCAAAGCCAACAGTCATGCAGATAAAATGGCAATGATGATCCTTTGCGACTTGAAACATAAATTTGAATCCTGCCAAAAACTTAAAATATAATTACTGTTGCACTGATCAGAGTGAAGGCAAATAAGCCAAAACATCCAGAAGAGTCACATACCAGAAAATGTTTTTCAAATGCTAAGCCCAACCAAAGCAGTTTGAGTATTTTAGCAAGAAACCATAAAAAAGATTATTTTTCATTCCTGTCAGGTCTCCAAGACTACAGCAACTCCTAAGCACCCCCACAACAGGACTTTTGTTCTGTGCAAGGCATTAGAAGAGATGCCTCAAGGAATTACGAGCAGACCACTCATTTGGCTATCTTGATATTCATGGCTGAATTCCTCTCAGTTTTAACTCCTCCCAAGTCCTGGAGGGAAACTAGCAGTATTCACAAGAATAAAGAAAAGCAAGGAATTTGATTGAAACAGCAGGACTGTCTTTAGAATCACAGAACCTACCCTGCTTCATAGGAAGCAGAACGGGACAGGGGTAATCTTTCCATGATGTTAAAGAACTAAGATCTCACCACAAGCAGCCTGGGAAGCTCCGGGTACACAACACACTGACATCCTGCTTGGTGTAGAGACTTGAAACTTTATTAAATAAATACCCACAGCCACTTGCTTTGGATTCTGGAGTAAAGCTCTTTATCCCAGCGATGAAAGGCATGTGGAATAAATTACCAGCAGAAGTTATAAAATACCAGCTCATTATGGGACATAAAAGTACTTGGGGAGGAAAAAAAACCTCTCTTTAGCAATATGGCTGATTAAGTTGCAAGTACTTCGTATTCCCCCTGTTTGAAAAGTACAGCCAATAAAGTCTGTCTCTAAAGAGCGACTTAAGACATTACCAAAATAAGAGCAGGGGAAAGTGTTGACATAAGAAACACGTTCACTTCTGTGCAGCAGGTCTTATTTTTATTACTAATATTGGTTTGATGGAATGAAAACTAAAAATTCCTCGTGACCTGCATGGTGCAGGCAGCCCAGCCAGCTGGAG